AAAAATGGACTATTTATGTCCAACGAGGCCGGAGATAAAAAATCGGAGCCGACGGAGGTCACTTTTCAGAGGTTCCAAGACTCCGGAAAGAGATATCGACAATCTGACTTCATATCCTGCTCCTAACAAATTATATGAGTCTACGTTCAAAAATAGAACCGGCTGCTATTAATATTGAAAGAGATATTACAAAATGTCTTACTTGACACGGGTTCTTTAACAGAAAAAGTTAATTTTTAAGAATTTGGACATCCCGAAAAAATGGTGAGTGGAAAAGCAAAATTTAAAGGCTTTAACTATTATAAGAGAAAGAGATGTCCGCGAGGCCCGCAAATTACCTCGGATCGTCCATCTCGACGTACGCGAATGCTGGAGGATTCTTGGCGACCCAAATATTCTTTATTGGTCCAATCTGACTGAATGCTTCCTCAATCTCTAGCCTAAATTATAAAATATTTATAAAAGGTAAAATTTAATGTATCCCCGAATTTAAAGATGTAGCCAAAATAAAACTCCCTCCCTCGTAACAGTATTCCGTATATGACCCTGGTTTCATCTATTTAACAACACGAATTAATATTATTTATTTTACATTATTTCAGGGCTAGGTTAGACCATGACAACTACTATGCCAAGCGCCGCGGCTAGGGGACATGACGCTACGGCCACTTGTCTTCCAGTCATGACCATTTGTTAAACATGAGCTCCATGTACAAAATTGAAAGGAGGGGATGGGGGGGGGCAAAATCATTTAATTTCATTTAAGTGGTCTATTGAATAATTGATAGGAGGGGAGGGGACCGGAGACAGGGTCCAAAAATAGTAGATTCAGACGGATCCAGATTTTTTTAATACCACTAATATTGCAGGAGGGCCGATTGAAGGACATAATTATTAGACATAAAAAGCAATGTTAAAAAATTAATAATTGTTAAACACGCATTTAGTTCTTAAATGTATTTATAAGGGGTTAAATTCAAAAACAATTATATCCTCTTAATGTCGTCAGCATTTCAAATCATCACACAATTAATATTTACTCGAGACATAGATAATTTTTCATATGTTTCCCCATTCAAAATACATAAATAAATATCGAAAAATGTCATAAAATTGCTTTTAATGTCTAACTTTGTGTTGAAATGGTTAAACCTTTAGGGGGTCCGCCCCAGGCTGGAGCCGCTCCATGCATGACACCTGGGGTTAGGGGGAGCGTTTTAGTTATATATTTAATGAAAAAATGTAAGAGTTAACATACCTATTCCCCTCTTCTCCTAGATTGCCAACCCAGAGTTTACAGTCTGGGTCCCATTCCATATGACAAGCAATTTTTTTGTCAATAGGACCAGTATATGGAGGAGCAGGCATTTTGTTCTTATTTTCTGAAATAATTTCAATAGAAGATAAAACAGACATCATAATGTACACCGAAGTTTATGTGCTAGATAGATCAGTGAAGTTTATACAGTTTTTGGTTTAAACAGGGTGTCTTACATCATATCTGATCGCGTTACACATTGAATTTTTAAGGCTAAAAACACTTAATTTTGCCATTTTCTCAAAACTTAATGTAGTTTGGTTTTGTTTTTATTTTCAGAATTGCAATTAATAGGGGATCGTAATAAATAGGTGCGCATTAGGCGCAAAGGCCTTTTTCGGCAGCCATAGCCGAAAAAAGGGTCAATTTTAGACTTTGTGACACCATATTTTATACAGGCTGCCATTGGTCTTAAAAATTGAGATAGAAGGCTAAAATAGTCACAGCCATTGTAAAAATCTATTTATTTGTTATTTTTAACTATCCCATCTTCTTTTAATCATGAATAGTTATTTTTATTCGTTAATGAAATATTCTTCAGTTCGATAGCTGAACGTTCCCAGAACTAATAATGTGTTCCAGAATTAAGGAATACCACAATTTCAATTTGTTGTTTCAATATATAAGCTTCACCCCCTGGTCACTTTCACGTGAATGTATTGAGACAGATACTCTCCAGTTATACATGTATGTTGTAAATCCAAGGATCTAAGTGCATCTCAACACAACTGAAGTATCTGCAGTAGTCCTTTATCTGTAAGTTGATAACATCAGTTTATCTTCAGGTTCTCTAAACAAGACAGGGTTCCCTTGTATTCAGACAGATTCTCTCCAGTTACATTTGTTCCCACTATATCCAGGAATCTAAGTGTACTTCCACAAAGCTGAAGTATCTGCAGCAGTCCTTTGTTTGTAAGTTGTTTACAGCAACCCATGTTCAGGTTCTCTAAACAAGGCAGGGTTCCCTTGTATTCAGACAGATTTTCTCCAGTTATATTTGTTTCTGATATATCCAGGGATCTAAGTGTACTTCCACAAAGCTGAAGTATCTGCAGCAGTCCTTTATCTGTGAGATGTGTACAGCATCTCATGTTAAGGTTCTCTAAACAAGGCAGGGTTCCTTTGTATTTAATCAATATATCACCAGTCATACTCGAATGCTTCAAGGTCAAAGATTTAAGAGTACTCCCACACTGTTCCAATATTTGTAGAAACCAGTCATAATTTTGACTAAACTCATCACAATTTAGCTGTAGAGTTTGGAGTTGTTTTGAAACTATTTTCACGTTTATTCCAGAAATAAATTCAATGCTTCCTTTTATAATCAAGGAAGACAAGGAAGGAAGAGACAAAATGCCATTTAATCCAATTGACGTCAACATACTTTTTAGCCAGGAATTTTTTTTTCCAAGTTGAAACATGAGAATTTCAGGATGTTTCTTCACAAGATACTCAACACCATCATCTCTAGCACGTTCAGCTTCAAATCCTGGAAATGTAAAAGAGTAAGTAATTTATTTAGAAAACATATCAAAACAAATACAAAATTAGATGTTTTAGAAGGAGATATTTATAAACATCCATAACAGAGGTTGTGGGAATGAGTCCCCCCCCCCAATTCTAATAGAGTGTCATTTTAAATTAAATGCTGGTGGATTTATTACATCTTTCAACGATAAACTTACAGCTAATTGAAATAAGAATTGTAGATTTTTACAAATATTGAAAAAAATTGGTAAATTAATGGGNTGTTTAGGGTTAAAAACTTTTAATAAAACTTACAACATTTTAAAACTGTTTTTTTTTGTTTGGGTTTCAAATTTTGCAATATTTTATCTTATTTTTTATGGTGTTTCACGTAATTTCTGAAAAAAAAGTGTGAAAATTGAAGAAAAAAACTGTTAACGATTGTGAAAAAATTTCCGTAAACGCCCTAAATAAAATCGAAATAGATAACTAACGGTAACTTTAAAAAAAGGAAAATTCGGAAACAAACGGCTACCTGAAATTCTTTTAAAGAAAATCTAGGAAAAATTAGAACGTGCCCAGTCCTAAACATAAATATGAGATACCTTAAAGTTAACGGTATACACCACACATTCAGTACAATTAACTTGGAACTCCATGTAACTCTACACATTTATTCCAATTACCTTGCAAGTACTACTTTATCTTAACTTCAAAAAAACTAGCAAAAAACTGTTTCTAAAATCCAATTTTAAATTATTGGCGTTTTATACTAGAAATAGTAAAAGACAGTTTTAAAAAGAAAAAACTCAGATTTTCTTTTTTTTATATATATATATATACTTTGCTTGTATGTCTGTTTGTTTGTCCACTTGTGTTCAATAAACGTCAAACCAGCTGAACCAATCGGGCACAAGTTTTATGACCCAAGGGTAGGTTTATGGATGATCAGAGTTTATCCAAAAGCTTTTAACTTGCATGAACTTTTAAAAACGCACATAAAAATATTTGAAAATCCGCGAACGTTCTTTCTTTTTGTTTTTTACTATACAAAGAGAAGATGTTCACAGATAGAGCCACAATTAAAAGTTAAATAAAGGATGGGGGCAAAGCGGCCTTAAAGCCAAGTATATTTATACTTTGCTTGTCTGTATGTTTATCCAATAAACGTCAAAACGGCTGAACCGATCAGGCCCATATTTTGCGTGGGACCTCCCATGACCCCAGGGAAGGTTTATGGGTGATTAAAATTTCAAAAGCTGTATCCAAAAGCTTTTGATTTGCGTAAAATTTTTAAAATGCGCAAAAAAAATATTTTTTGACAAATCACCCTTTTTAGGCATTTTTCTCCCTTTTATAGATGGTGGCTGGTTCTAATTTTAAAAATAATGTTATATAATTACCTAGGAGCAGGATATGAAGTCAGATTACCAATATCTCTTCCCGGAGTCTTGGAACCTCTGAAAAGTGACCTCCGTCGGCTCTGATTTTTTATCTCCGGCCTCGTTGGACAAAAATAGTCCATTTTTTAAATATATACTCCCAATGACCCCTAAAATACACAAAAAAANTTCAATATTATGCAAAAAAAACATTATCATGTTTGATTCAGTTTAATAATATGCAAAATCAGAAATAATGGGCTAATTAATGTTAGTGCAATCAGATTCTGTTTTAAAAATCATAAAAATGTCTTTTTGATCAATTAATTTGGCTGTGTGACATGCCAAAAAAAATCCTACGTAAATCATGAATTGCGATTAACCCATTGAATGTATGTAGATAGATACCACCAACTCCGCCATACCCATATTGTGATTTCTTAACTATGTTATATCCAACAGCGCATAACTTGTAATTACGCGGTTGAAGACGCAAATCTTATCATAACTGAAGAAATATACCTTAGTTGCAATAGAGACTATGTTTAGCACACGAGAAAGTAATCGTTCCCTGTTTTGATAAACAGGTTGAGGATCGTGTCCTTGTTGAGACGTTGATAATTTACAAGATTGTGTCCAAGTTGAGGCATTGATAGCTCAAGATGGTGTCCTAGTTGAAACATTAATAGTTTACGAGATAGTGTCCTAGTTGATGCATTGATATCTTAGATTGGTTCCTAGTTGAGACATTAGTTCATGGGATTGTGTCCTAGTTGAGGCATTGATAGGTCAAGATCGCACCCAGTGGGAGAGGCTTTGATAGATCATGCATTAGTAGTTGTGAGCATCGTGTCCTGGTTGAGACATTGATATTAATTGCTAGTGTCTGTGTTGACATTGATAGCTAATGAGAACGCGCACAGTGGTAGTTGTGTTGATAGATTACGAAATAGTAGCAGTGTGTTGACTTTGATGGTCACTGAGTTGTACCTGTATAGATACGTATTCAAGAAACCCTTATGGAGTAGGGCATTTACTACAAAAGTGGTGGCAGCGGTAGGATCAAGCTTTGGAGGCAAAAGTTGGAGCAGTGCAGAGAGACATAGAAGAGGTAAAGACAAAGAAAGAACAGGAATGGTATGTGCAGACATGGGAAAACAATTGAAAATCGGAGAGTCAAAATCCTATTGCAAGAGTAACAGCAATGCTAGAGAAACCCAAGCTCATAGATGCAAAGCAGAAAAGTAAAGATTACCTAGATGCAAAGGTGATTTGTGGAGAGGCAAATGAGGACACCTATGAGAAACTAGGTAAATTTGAAACTGCTCTTAAGAACCCTAGTTTTTATAGAAAAGGCTCCTCAATATGCCGGAAATTTAAAAGAAGTGTTTACCTAGTGTGAGAAATTGCAAAATCATTTGTCTAATCATAAGTGGCAAACAATCCCTAACGAGGGAATAAAAGAAATGTTGTTGGCATGTATCAAGGGAGGGGCTAGATAGGAGATAGTACTGTTGTAGCCTTCAAGAGAGGGACTGGCATTTGATACAAATGAAACAGAAGAGTTCAGTGCTTAATTATTGAAGAAATTCTCCCAAGAAAAAGATGAAGAAGGCAGGAAACTGGAATACAACAGCAGAATACAGACAGGGAATGGAGGATCCCAGGAGATATTACAATGACAAGCTGAGGCTATGGATACAAGCATACGCTCTAGCAAAGAGAAAATTGTCAAGAGTTTAAGACAATGATTTTGAGATTGTACCATGTGGAACTGTTGAGAGCTTGTTTACAGCTTATGCCTAAGGAACTTCAAAGAGAGAGGGAGATTAAGGAAGTACTATATTATCAGCTGTGTAACCTAAGAAAAATAAACACAGATCCCAGAGCAGCTTCACATGACATGGCGGGGTTGACAAGCTCATTTAATTTTAACTCAGAGGAAAGAAACACGAAAAACCGTGGAGTGGCTTCAGTGTAGAAAATAAAGGATAGATAGCCCTGTAGACACTATAGATGGATAGATATGACTCCATCATACCCATATTGTGATTGCTTAACTATATATATCTAACAGCTAATAACTTGTAATTACCCTGTTGAAGACCCAAATCTAATCAATACTGAAGAAATAAACTTTAATTGGAGAACCTCACAACATAAGGGGAAAGAAATGATAGAAAGGGCCAGAACCTGTAAGAAAGTGATTCTTCGGACCAGGTCTCACAAATTAGACAACACTGTGGCAATGTCAGCACTTTGGCAAAACGTTGCCATTCCAGGAATAATGTATGCAGCAGATGCAGTCCCAATACCAGAAACATCAATCACAGAGCTAGAAATTATCAAGAATCAGATAGGTAAATCCTTACTTGGTGTCCCTAAATCATCAGCAAACACAGTGATCCAAGTGGAGCTAGGTTGGAATCCAATCCGACTTTTGATTGAAACTTAACAAGCCATGTTTCTTTCATAGAGTAAGCAGTCCCGACTTCGTTGGAAGTTCTCTGGTTAAATCATGTTTTGAGTGGAATATGAGCAACCCCCAATGTCTGTCCTGTGTAAATATGCTACATCTCCACATATTCTAAAGGGGGTTACCCCTAAGCAGTTACACCAGTATCACAAACAGAAAGTAATTTCAGACATACAGAAGTTAGTTACATTGAAACTGATGCCCCTGCCAAGGAAATGGTGGAAAATCCAATCTCACATTGAGGAATCCAGGTGATCAAGAACATTGATAAAGTTAATACTCTACCAAAAATACCATGATTCCTTCCGGATTACCGATCTGTCATTAAAACTATTCCGTCCTGAAAAATTATATTAATTAGTGTTTTTTTACATTATTTAGTACAAACCGAACCCAGAGAGCTAGCAGAATGACTGACTGATCTTGGAGAGGAAACCTTCTGCGAAATTATAACGGTAATAATAGATTTTCATGGGATCTGGCAGAGCTTGGCAGAACTTGTTCTAATTTATTGAATATTATATTTATCTTATATAGAGGGTGAATGTCGTGAACAGGGATCACATAGGACTGAAAAGGTTCAACCTAAATAAAAATTCAAGACCATCCAGTGTACTTATTTGCACAGTGGTCCACTATGTCTAACTTATAACCTTTCCTTGTATACATTTTCAAATGCCTAGTTTTGAGCTCTATCTTTAAATTGAACCAAGATGTCTCGTCAGTTTTGATCCTTGAAACATATTTATGAAAATAATCCTAAAAAAACTAATCTTTTTCTGACTCTCAAAACTTGGATCCTTACCTTAATTTAAATTTTCAGTTTAATTCATTAACTCAGTAGTTGAATTTCTTAGCTTCTGAAAAATAAAAGGAAATTCGCAGAATTAAGTCCTCAATATTCTTAAATCAAATAATGAATACTCTACTAAAAATACCATGATTCCTTCCGGATTATTGATCTGTCATTAAAACTATTCCGTCCTGAAAAATGATATTAATTATTGTTTTTTACATTATTTAGTACAAACCAAACACGGAGTGCTAGCGGAATGACTGACTGATCTTGGAGAGGAACCCTTCTGCGAAATTATAACCTCTCCTGAACCGACGGACAACTAAGATAAACTCCACCGCAACAAGGAAACACCCTACGAACCACCA